GCTCTGTGGCCCCACGCTTCTGCAGGGTCATTTGCAAAAATAAATCAAGCAAACATAAATTCATTTATACTGTAAATTCACGTGCCAAAAGCAACACCAACCATAAGAACCTCCGTTCTCGCCCTGACCTAACCATACAGCAACGTGCCCGCTCCCGTGTACTCCGCACAGAACTCAAAAAATGTCTATACAATGGAGAGAAGGATCTCTACATTGACTACCATGTTGACTATATCAAAAGTAAGTCACACAACCCACAACTCAGCTTTAACCTTCAACCACAACCCTACTTCAACCAATCCACCATCACCCAAGACTAGGTACGCACGTCCCTAACTACCTCAATTCCAACTACAGCTTAAATGCAAGCTACTCAATGCAAGAAGCCTTGTGAATAAAATACCTGAATTTCTCCTCTTACTAAATATGGCTAAATTCAACATCATATTTGTCTGTGAAACATGGCTCAACGCATCTCTCCCTGACTCCATTACCACAGTAAGAGACTATCATGTTTACCAATCAGATTGTGAAATTCGTTGAGGAGGTGGTGTTGCTATCTTCTATAAAAAGTCCCTACATCTAAAAAACATCCAAGTTACCCAGGAGCTTGCTCTTCCTGAGACCATCATCTGTGAACTATCCTTAAATATCATATTTTGATTCTTACTATGTCATTGAGCACCTGATTATGACATTGAACATGTAAACAAGCTAAATTCACTACTCACATGGGCAACATCCTGCCCACATACTTTTATCTTTCTTGGTGACTTCAGTCTACCTCATATTAACTGGATCCTAAATGAATGTACAACTGAACCCATACATGCAACCTTCTACAATGCTGTTACAAATCTGGGACTGCAACAACTAGTAACCAACAATACTAGACTTAACAACTGCCTCGATCTCATCTTCTGCAATAGTTTGAATTTAATTTACGGAATACAAACTAAAGAACCCTTTTCCAACAGTGACCACAATAAGATTGACTTTTGTCTCAACATACGCCCACACAAAAATCATCACAATGATGTAATCCCCAATTATAACTTCAAAAAAGGTGACTATGATCTTATAGACAATGATATCTCATCCCTTGATTGGCAATCTCTATTCACTGGATGCAATACTGTTGAAGACCATTACAACACATTTTTGCTTGAATTCAAAAGAGTCATCAAACTATATGTATCAATAATAACTCCCAAAAACAAAAACAAAAAAACAAAAAAAAAACAGATTACCCATAACAATAACTTCAATCCAAAAAGATATCACTCTGGCAGAAAAACAAATCTGGTCACGTTTCCAACTTCAAAAGTCAATACAAAAATTTATGCCACCAGATAAAGACTGAATGCACCAATTATCACATTAAACAAGAGGAAAACCTTCTACACACCAATTCCACCCCCGCTTTTTACAATTTTGTAAACAACAAACTAAAAGACTCAAGGTCCATCCCACCCCTGATAGGACCTAATTTTAAAGACTGCAATGACGACACCATTAAAGCCAACATCTTTAACACATTCTTTGGCTCAGTATTTGTAAACAGCAATGGATGATGCCCAGTATTTCCTAGTCGAATCACAGACAACTACAATGATCTAATACTTATTGATTTTACAGAAGACAATGTTGAAAAAGCACTACGCAATCTAAAACCATCTCTATCTATTGGACCAGACGGAATATGTGCGTACTTCTTAAAAAGGCTATCCACTGCCATAGCAGAACCTCTAAGCATAACCTTTGAAAAATCTTTCAGGACCAGCTCCTTGCCTAACCTATGGTCACAAGCCACGGTCATCCCCATCTTCAAAAGGGAGACCCCAGCCTAGTTGAAAATTACAGACCAATCTCCTTATGTTGCATCACCTGTAAAGTCATGGAATCAATTATTAACCAATCCATTATCCTCCACTTAGAGACAAACAACCTACTCTCTAATAAACAATTTGGTTTAAGAAAAAACTATCCTGTAATCTGCAACTCTTACACTGCAAAAACATATGGACTACACAACTCAAAGCAATAGACGCAATCTACATAGTCTTCTGTAAAGCCTTTGATTCAGTGGTACATGACAAACTACTCCTAAAACTAAAATCTTATGCTATCTCTGGACACCTGCATAACTGGATAGAAGCATTCCTGTCAAACAGACAACAAACGGTCAAAATTGGGAGTGTCCTATCAAGAAGAGTTCTCCACTCCTCTACTCGCTGCAGAATACCTTATGCCACCAGACTTGAAACTCTAGACCTAGAAAACCTAGAACTACGCCGCTTTCGGTCCAATCTTAGTATAGTATATAAAATCATATATTGCAATGTCCTACCTGTCAATGAATACTTCAGCTTCAACCATAACAACACAACAGCACACAATAGATACAAACTCAAGGTTAACCGCACCAAACTTGATTGCAGGAAATATGACTTCAGCAACAGAGTGGTCAATGTCTGGAATACTCGACCTGACTCTGTGGTTTCTTCCCCAAACCCCAAAAACTTTAATTTTAGACTGTCTAATATTGATCTCACCCCTTTCCTAAGAGGTCTGTAGAGGGTGTGCATAAGTGCACCAACATGCCTACCATCCTTGTCCTATTGTTTCTTTTATTTTTCTTATATGTACCCATTTCATGTATTCATAACTATGTATATACTTATACCTTTTATCTTGTAAGCGATTGACAAATTAAAATAAATAAAAATAAAAATAAATAAACCTAGCCAGAGTGTGTTTTTCTCTTTCTCTCCCTCCCTCTCTCCCCCCACCTCTCTCTCTCTCTGTGTGTGTGTGTGTGTGTGTGTGTGTGAGAGAGAGAGAGAGAGAGAGAGAGAGAGAGAGAGAGAGAGAGAGAG